TGTTATCCCTAAGGCAAATCCAGACAAGCAGTTCCAGGAGGAAAAGCATGTTTGATTTAAAGTGAGTGCTCTGTTCAAATAAGACCACACCCATGTTTAAATCTCTCATTTCTGTTTACAGGAGAACAAGGTGGCAAATGAAAGTTTGCCACTTGACATGACAGAGTACTTTTTCCTTAGCAATTGTCTCGGTTAAACAAAGAATGAACAGGCTCAAACAAAAAGTGGAATAATTTACTTTCTACTGCATTTGATAGGTATGAATGGATAATGCTTTTAAGCCTTGGAATTCAAAAGAAACAGCTAAAAAAACTAAGATACATTAAGATAAGGAAATTAAATGAAAACACTAAAACATGGTTTCCAAATGAAAGATCCTAACTATGCTGGCTTTCAAAACTAGCAGCCTGTAACCACAAAAGAAATCTTATACTCTGTGATAAAAGCAACTGCAGAAGGAAAAAAAAAAATCTATGCAGTTGGGCATGAACTACCAATATGAATGTGCAATGTGCGCACTGAACCACACTGCTGTGACTGAAGAACAGGCAAACAATATCCAATCTAAGATAAAAGTATCAAATCCATGTTTTTAGGAGCACAACGCTCAAATGATAAAGGCAGTCAAGTACTTAAAAGAGGTTGCAAAATATTTGAAAGTGCCTGTAAACCAAACTCCCTTTGAGAAGCATCAGGTAAGGAATGTGCCAGTGTGTACCATCCAAAGGTGATGTCTTAGTCCTGAAAACTCAGGATTTAAGTTGTCCAAAATGGGGAAGTTTGGTTCAAAACACTTATATTTTAACTGTTGCATTAAAAAAAAAAAAAAAAAGGATAAAAAGTTCCCAGATAGACCAAATTGTCTCTATTTTTTTTCAAATGCTATTGCAGCAAACTCATCAAATAATCCCATTTGGTAATTATACTATATCTTCACAGAATATACCAATCTAGGCAAATTACAGAGGTCTTCAAAGCAGGGCCAACTTTAAAGACCATGAGGACTATAAAGACAAAACAGACCATGTTCCTCAAGGCCTTTTCCAGCTGTGTTCTGCATACCTTCAGAGGTAAAGATTCCACAGCCTCTTGGGCAACTTGTTCACTGCACTACTCTTCCAGTGAAAAACATTCCCCTTATAGCCAGCTGTAATTTCCTTCCCTGGAACTTGTGACTGTTGCCTCTTGGCTTTCCAGTGCCACCCTCTGAGAAGGGTATGTTTTGCCCTATAACCCTTTTACTGCAAAGGTGAGCTGCTGATTCATTTTCACCTTATTCTCCAACAGCATCATCAGGTACTTTTCCTCAAAGCTGTTCCCCCATCTTGTCCTGATGAATAGTGTTACTTGGTCACAGGTGCAAGAATGTGGATTTATATTCCCTGAATTCCATGAAGTGTCTGTCAGCCATTCCTGCAGCCTCTGAACAGAGGCTCTGCTCACCTAAGCAGCAGCTGCAGTTCCCTCAAGTTCATGTCATCTGCAGACATGGTGAGGGTGCAATTCCTCTTCTCCACCCAGGTTGTATAATCCACCCCTGTGTTACTGCTTGGTTCTGCAATGTTATGTGAATGAACTTGTTCTTCACCATTTCCTGTTAGAATAGCTCATGGGAATGCTGCTCCATTCATCTAACGTTACAATAAACAGCACTGTGGTAGGGAGAAACTCCTAAAAATATTCCTTGGCCAAATCCTTATCTACTGTAAATTCCTTGCATTTCTAATCAGCTTATACAAAAGTGACATCCAGGCTATTTATCCAAAAACCAAAGTGGCAGTAACATATCTAAAAATCAGCAAGCTGCTCATTATAACCAGTTCCTGGTGCTGCATGTATTTAGTTCACTGTTGGCATAAACATCTCCTTGGAAGAGCACAAGGCACTGGCTACTTCTGCCTCACTGCTGAGTTAAGACAAGCAAACAAAAACATGCTGAGTGTTTCTATGCTTAGTTACATGTACTTTTGAGGAAAAAATGACTATTATTTAAATGCATTTATTACCAGTTGAGCCATCCTAATCTCTAGATACCCCTTGGGCTTAGAAAAATACACATTTTTACAGGAAAATATGTTTTATAATCCTTAAAATAATTTCTTGCACAACAGTGTAATCTAAAAAGTACTCACAATGGGTGTGAAGTTAGGAAAACACTACCACCCATTAAACCCCCACCCTCATGTGGTCCTTGAACATTAGCCAAGGTTTCCTTGTAGCCTCCCTTAATTTGACCCCAGGAGCTAATATCATTGACTGCAGCTCTCTTGATAGGAACACTCAATGTAGGAGACTTTACTTGGAAGAGTGAATCATAGACAAACAACAGTGCCCCTTCCATGACATCTGTGATGGATCATTCAAAGTTCACAACAAACTGTTTCACAAAGAGGAGGCTGCTTCAGGTTAAATTGTGAGATGGCTCTTAAATACATCTACCTCACACAAACTTAGTCAACCTTACTGCTCCTAAGTGGACCAGGAAATCAGAAACATCACGTGTGAGAGAGATTTCTGTTGACACATAAGTAAGACTGTTTTAAGGTTTGACAGCTGATATGAAGCACAGAAGCTCTAGGTCTCCTTTCACAGACACCACCTGTACCCTTGGCCACAGCCATCACACCCAGGAACTTGCTCTGATTTGCAGCAGCATCAAGGTGAGGCTTCAGCCCACACAAATAATCAGAACAATACTGGTGTATTAGAAAATGGATTTTTTTCTTAGGAGATTTTCCTAGTTGTATCACTCTACAGCTTGGATAATACATGGACTTAGCACTGCTACCATTTCTGTAGGTGAAATCCAGCCCTTTCACAAGTGACAGTGCATGTGCAGGATGAAAACAGAACATCAGCTGGAAACCAATTCAGAGAGCCCAAGCATTGGATCATACCATCTAGCAAGTGTGAAATGGACCTCATGAGAGGGTGAAATATAACCTTAGTACATGCTTTCAGTATTCCCAGTGCTTCCTCAAAAGCTTGAAGATACCAAGATATGTGAAGTGGGCCCACCTCTTACAGACAGTAGTCTGTATCCACATTTCTAAGCCTGGTCTGCTCCTGTGCAAACCTAAAAACCCACATAGTCCTGGGCTCCCTGAGGCCTGGGTCCTGCCCAAGCCTGAAGTCTGCTGAGCACACAAGTCAATAATTAAGTTACTATCTTCTACTCCTGCCACAAAAGGGCAGAAGTAGAATGATAAGCTGCTTTTCTATGCAAAGTTACTTATTTCCAGGAATTCTGTAATACAAAAGAAAGGGTCAGGAAAGAGGGGAAGAGGCTGACAGGGAAGGCAATGGTTTGTGCCTGTCACTCAACTCTGCATATGGTTTGAATATGTAGATAAGCAACTGCCTCTGCTCTTACAGTAGTTACAGTGCTATTACAACTCTGCTAATTTAATTGTTTAAAAAACTACCAATCCTTATTACATGTAAGACATTTTACAAAGGATCCTTCCTGCAGACACATGTGTTTAGCATAGTGCAGCAATCAGCAGGATTGGCCTAGTCCCCTCACTGCTTTTCTGGTGCAGGTTTGAAGCAGATCTTGTTTATTGTTCTTTTTTGCAAACCTCTGTGAGATCTTTGAAGTGGTTGGGCTCCTTGAGCCAACAGGCCCTGTGCTGCACCTGGTGTGAGGCAGACTGAACAGCTCCAAAGTTAAACAAACAGCAATCCCAGCTGAGGATGGTGTATGAGTTACAGATAATGGCAGCCAGGGCAGGCATGATCCATCCAAAGCAAACTCTGTGTTGTCTTAACAAAGCAATTTAGAGCTGCATTTGCTGTGCAGACCAGTCTGCTGTGTTTAAACAGAGACTCTGTTATTTAACACACATATACACACGTGTGTGTATGTATATATATATATGAAAGAATCCTTTACAGGATATGTCCAGAGGAGCATCCCTCCAGCTCCCTGCTCCTTTTTCCAGACTCATCATGCTTTTTAGTATTGCTATACGCATTGCTATAAACCACACTTAAAACAGCACATAACTGAGGCTCTCTTTTCCTTACAATCAAATCAATACTACTTGTTGGGAAATCAAATGACAAGCACATTTAAGTATTCAAGAGCATAATACCAACTTCAAAACATAGTACATGTATGCAAATTTGGTAAAATAATTGTTTTTAAAAACAATTTGAAAACAATGATCTTTAATGAAGAATTTTCTGCTCCTTCAAAGTTTTTCTTCTTTTCTTGTTTTAAAAGTAATTTTTCCTTTTTATTTTATTGTTGTATTATCAAGTTCAAAAGACAGTAAATTTATTAAAATATAAATCTCCATGAAAATCCAAAATAGGTTATCACATATTTTTTATTGAGCTATCTCTTAATAGTAGCCCACAGAAAGATAGGTTAGTTAAGGTGCATCTTTATTCAGTCCTGTCACTGAGCAGTCAAAAAATCAACCTTGGGAATTTTGCTTGAACATCAACTTCAGGATTTGATCTTTGGAAACTCAGCTCTCTGTTATGATAGATTATATCTGCATTTCTCTACCTCAAACGAGATGTGGATGGTATAGCAAAGCTATAGCAGAGTGACCACAGATCACACAGCCAAAGGAGAGGCTGAATAAGACAATGGACCAAACAGAAGTCCATGTGTTTTCAGGATAAAATGAGGTTTTTTGTAATATTTAGGTTATTCTATGAGGATGTTTTTAATATGAATTCAAACCAAAACAAACTCCATGTTTTTTCCACTCCCCACCTGAACTTCCAATACCCTGTAAAATCATCCAAAACTGATGAGTTTCATCATTATCTTTGTAAAACACCATTTGGTCAGACATTTGCCAAATTTTTGGCAATTTTTTAGTTAAATTGCCTACATACTGATTGTTTTTAAAAAAATTACAATACATAATGATATTATTCTCTTCTCTCTTCTCTTCTGCTATTACTGAGGTGCAGGGATATCCAGGATAGTAAGCAAAACAGAACTGCTTGCAAAACTGTTGAGCAAATATCATTCCTACCTCCAGCCTGGTCCTGTCCACATCCTTTGGCAATTTCACACGAACTCGGTTTGTTACAATAAGTGTTTCATAAGGATAAATCTGTTAAAAAGACAAGAGCATATGAACTCCAGCTGAGTCCAATTCTGAGGCATGGAAATGCTGGTATGGGGAACTTACTAAAAAATAGTACATACTTGCATCCTGATTTGACAAATATTTCACTGGGACAAAAATTAATAAAATGAAATAAAAGAAAGGAACCCATGTAACCTTGCTAGGAAGTGCTGAATCTGATTGTTCTTCCAGTGGTGGAAAAGCCCTTCTTACCTTGTATTCTGCAAAAGAATGAGAACAGGTTCACAGTTTAGAATTTATTGCCATCTTTTGGTGTCACCACAATGAACATTTAGGTACATCACAAATGTGCTCTGCTACTACATTCCTCTCTTCTTAATAGCTGTTGGATAACTGCATGCATAGTAAGAATTTGACCCCCATGCCCTGAATGCTATAATCACTGTCTATTACCAAAGCAATTGTCCTGGAAATCAAAGGTTTATTACAGAAAATCCATCTCCCGATGCCATTGGGTTACACGGTGAGTATGGCTGGCAAAATTGGGTATCTCTTTTTACAGGAGGCTTATGTGCAGAGTTAAGTCAGTCTGTCATCCAAAACTCCTGCCCTTATTGTTCTTTACTGAAAATAGTTAAAATATATGGATTATTAAAGGCATGTCAGTTTGGAAACATAGATGAAAACCACTGAAATAATATGATATTACAAGATGCTAACACCCTGCACTTGGGCTGACTGCAGTGGGAGTAACAATAGGGAAGAAAAGTTGATTTGGGGATGTGGTAACAATGAGTCCTGCATCTACACTAGCACAAGGGAATTCTAGTTAGGTCAGTGTATGACTATATATGATATAACTACACAATTTTATCTATTCACAGTGGTGATTAAATGCAACCAGGATAGCCAAAAGGTTTTCACAGACCTCTTTATGGTCTGAAATTAAATCAGAGATTGAGTCTACTTTTCAAAACCTGTACTTTAACCTATTCAAACATAGAGACAAAGATTTTTATCAACACAGAGTCATGAAGTGAAGCCTTAGAGCAAAATTTTTAAAATGAGTTGAAGTGTCTTGGAAATAGAATTTTTCAAATCCTTTGAAAATTCTAACCCAAGATCCACATAAAGTGCACAGTCCACTTAAAACTGCAATAAAAGAAAACACTACAAATAAATTCTCCATTTTGAACTCTGCACTTTTTAACCACACTGTAGCACAACCAAGAAGCACAATGGACCTTTTCCAACTAGACTTGAAGGAATGATTATCTTAAATTTCCTCCTCTCTTTGATAGGAGACCAACACCACAAGGCTATTGCCACATATCTAGGATTCTGCTATTGACTCAGCCTGGTTGCACCACCCTATGATGCAAGACTTCTGTCAGGCCTTTAGGTTGGGGTAGGTAAAAAGAAGATTCTCTGTGATAAACAGGATACTGAACTGTGTCTCTGGCTCGTCATTATCATGTGAACTACAGGAAGAGCTCAGAATAGTAACTTGTATGGCAATATGTTAATTAAAATCCTGAAAAGGTGAAAACACAAGGGGAGTGGAAATGATATTGCAAAAAAAAAAATGTACCTTTCATCCCCCAGCTTGCATCCTGGTCCGTTTCATATTGGCCCATATTTTCAGGCTGCCAGAGAAAGAAAGAATCAATGTAGCAGCAAAATGCAAAAAAAAAAAACAAAAACAAACCACTCTGAACATTGCTGAGAGAAGAATGAAAGACATAAAATGGAAATACAGATCCTCGCGTGAGAGAAAGAGAAATAAGTCTCATTCAAATTTGACCTAATTGCTCAAGTAAGCAAGGTAACACTGAAACTGTCACTTTTCTGTGCTTCTGTGTTACTGCCATCATCACAAATCACTTCTGCTGCACTGCAACTTTTCTCCTTCTGCTTCACACTGCTGATGCCACTGACCAGGGAGAACTCTGCATGTACCATGTATGTGCTTTGTTTGAACCACTGTCTTCTTCCTTTGCTGACAAATGCTACGATGAAAATCAGTACAGGAAATCAGAAAAGTTATACGGGGTTTTTTTCCCCCCAAGGCTCATTTTTGCCTGGTAGGGTATCAGTGGTGTGCACAGCTATGCCCACAATAACCTGCAAGGCTCCCTGTTGTTTGCTTTTGGGGTTTTATTTATGCAGCACTAGGATGGCTGATTAAAAATAACAAACCACAAAAGCTGGTATGAACCTACAATCCAAACAGAGGAGATCCATTCCGAGAGGAATTTTGGCCTCAAGGATTTGACCATGAGCAACCTTTTCAACTCTCATACAGGTTTGGGATTCTGTCTATGGGACAGATGCTGCCATCTGCTGCTTTCCCATCACACTGCAAGGAACCCTGAGTGCTCCGGCTCGGGAAGCCTTGGGATGGCTTTGGTGCCTCACCAGTGCGGTGGCTGAGCACAAAGCAGTGTCTTGCTCACTTCAGGTTACTGGCAACACCTATTCTGAACAGTCAGAAAAACCTTTTTCTTGACTCATAGGTGGGATTAGTTTTATATGGACCCTTTTAAATTCCTAAATATTACTCAAAAAAATTTCAGCGTCACTCCTTTCTTCAGAGAGGAATTCAAGAAACCAGATATTGAAGCAACACGGACATAATTAGTTTTTTAATATTAACTCAAAGGGATGGACATTTCAGCAGCTAATGGAAAAATCCATTTAGCTACTCCTTGATAATTTCCTTCTTGTAGCTCCTTCCAAATGACTCTTAGTTTGACTCTTGTCACTGGGGAAGTTTAATCCTCCTCATGTGCTTTTGCAGGTTTCACATCTTCCTTTGGAGAAAGAAGGGAATTTGAACGAGGTCCTCTCCATGCAATTTGGAAAAAAATCAATTCTTCAAAAGGCAGGTGCACATGCATCTATGTATTGCTCATTACTATAAACCATAGAGTGTTTTTTCACCTTATAGTGTAAGCCATGAATTGAAAATCCATAATGCTAGATGCCAGAGATAGAAATGCCACATTGTCAAAGCTTACATTTTATTAAAGACTAATAAAAGTTGCAAAAAGGGATTAAAAACATAATTCCTAGTCTGTTCTGGTCATAATTTTGTTAGACAATGTTCTTTCTAGATTGCTGCTTGTCAATCTTCCTTGATCCCTCCCTGCCTTAAAAGTACAATGGCTGTGTGTGAATACACACACCACACACAGACACACATTCTCACTAGAAATAACAAAACAGATGCTTCAAGGAATGCAATGGATGTGGGCTGTTCCACCTTTGCTCTAAGATCATTACTTGCCTAATTACAGGCCTGTCTCTATCATTAATTCAAGCTATCCTATTATTAATATGTGCAGCCTGTACATTTGAGATCTTTGTTTTGGGAGGAGAATCAAGATTCCCAATGCTCATAATGCACACAATTAAAGGGAGAAGCCTCAGTCAGTCTTACTCTTGCAGAGAGACAAACTATAACCCTGTTTGGGAATTAATCTGTCAGACAGGGCTGGCAGCCAAAACACCTTTGAAGTGTTATTACTGTGTATATTTTCAACTAGTTACTGAGTTGTCTATTTATGAGACCTTATTTCCTGAAGAATGCATTTAAATGTGTACCTACCTGATGTAAGCCATTCTTTCCATAGCCAGGTAGAGAAGCAGACTTAGAATATGGAAATCCTGTAAAAGACATAATATATAGCTAAATATTTCACAGCCTATTAAAACAGGGAGTCCAAGAAAACATCCAGAAACAGCAATTACAAGACCAATGCAAATATTCTATCAATGACAATAAATATAACTGACCTATGTTCATCTTTTCTCCATATTTCATGCACATGAACATGTGTAACAATATCTAGACCAGCAGCATGCCAGGGGCACCACGTGGAGGGAGTTATTATGGGATTTACAATATAGAAGCCTCATGCACCAAGGTGATGCAAAGCTTGAGATTTGAGAGATTATGAAATTTCTGCCTTCCAGATTGGTGTTAAATCATAATTTGAAATTGGGATTAAAGGGATTAGATCATCACTTCTGAATGTGCTATATGAGTTCTGGGTTATGTTTTTTTTTTTTTTTTTTCCTTTAAAAAGATGGGTTTGATACCCTACTACTTAAATTTTTTTTTTTTCTTTCTGTAAAACTTTTCTTTTGAAAAAAGCAAAAATGAAGATACAGCAGTGGATAAATCAACCAGAGTATATACACCCAACTGAATAAAAGTTTTAAAATGTAGAAAACTGGTGAAGTGGTGTTACCACAAATAAATAATGTAACGCAGTGATGAAACAGTGTGTGGTCATTGTAAGACAACTGAAATGCCTTAATTTTAGTATTAAGACTCTAATAAGAAAGTTTAAAAGTTAAAACAATAGAAGAACAAACACATGTATAATAAATATGCCTGATTCTAGTATAGGGCATTATGTAAAACTGATGCAAAGTGTTACAGAAGTCAGACAGCTCAAAGAACTGAATGTACAATACTTCTTTCTGTCAAAATTATTAGCAATCTGTGTCCAAAGAGGAATGCAGGAACGGAATCCAGACCCCACTGGATTAATAAATACCCTAAGGAGATTATTAGGAATAAGAATACAGAAAGAAAATGCAAAAGATGGATCAGCAGAGAGCTCAAAATGTGCTGAGATAAACTGAAAACTGCCAGAAGTCAAGCTGAGTTAAACACTGAAAATGATATTAAAACAAATACCAAAAGTTTCTCCAGCTATCCAAATAAAAAGAGAACAAGGAAAGAAGAAATGGGATAACTGGGAGTTGCACTGTGTCAGTACTCAGCACTCAGCAAAGGTGAAAGACAAACCAGGTAGGGCAGGTAGGGCTTGAGCACTGAAGAAGTGTTTCATCCATGGAAGAGAAAGTGCAGTACTAAGCAAGGATGAAAAGCTAATGGATGAAAAGATACGGGTATGCCAGTGAATCTCATGATGGAAAAAAAATTCAAAGCACTTAATGTAATTAAACAAGGAGCAACAGGCTCACATTGAATTACAAGCCAAATACTTCCTGCCATTAGAGAAGGGCAACTACTCTATTTTTTTATATTTAACAGAGGAAAAAAATAACCCAAAAAAAAAAAAAAAAAAATCAAAACCTTGCCTGTTATGTGAATGGTAGTGCCACCAGAGAGAAGAGTAAAATAATACCAATGTGACAGAATGCCTGCAACAAAGCTGTCATCTCTGCTCTTGCCTTGAAAAAGCTGCTATGTTGGACATCAGCGTGCAGCTCAATCTCTCAGCCTTTTGGCTCCAGAGAAGATGGGCGAGCGAGGTTTGTTCTGTCGCTAAATAATACTCGGCCACCGAGGGCCACTGCCCCAAGGTAAAGACGCGTGAGCAGCAGAGCCAGCCAGGCGCGGAGCTGCCGCGGAGCTGGCCCCGGAGCTGGCCCGGGAGCTGCCGCGGAGCTGGCCTTGGAGCTGGTCCCGGAGCTGGCCCGGGAGCCGCCGCGGAGCTGGCCCGGGAGCCGCCGCGGAGCTGCCTCGGGATCCGCCGCGGAGCTGGCCCGGAGCTGCCGCGGAGCTGGCCCGGAGCCGCCGCGGAGCTGGCCCGGAGCTGCCGCGGAGCTGGCCCGGAGCCGCCGCGGAGCTGGCCCGGGAGCCGTCGCGGAGCTGGCCCGGAGCTGGCCCGGAGCCGCCGCGGAGCTGCCCCGGCCGGGCCGCGCCCGCGGCGCCGGCGCCACCGTGTGGCCGCCCGGAGAAGCGGAGCCGGAGCGGGCCGAAAGGCAGCGCCGAGAAATTATGGAAATAATTATGGAAAATTAACTATTACACATCTACATATACAGAAACAAGACCCGTTTTCACAGGTGGATGTAAGGAGATACAAGCTCCACTCCTGCCTGTTGATTGCACAAGCCTCACACTGATGTGCTGTGCTGTTAGTTGCGTTCTTCTGGGCATTTAAGTAATGTAATGCAGCAAAATTTCTACTAGAGCAAAACAACCTTTCTCTGGTTTGCTCAGAGGCTGGGCAGAAAAATGCATGGCTTTTTGCTCAGTATAGCTGGAAACATCACTACCAATTCACAGCCTGCTAACTCCCTCCACTCTGCCTGTAACCACTTGGCACCAAACCTATGCCTCACAAGTGTATTTCCTCTGATAGTCACTGAGATGGGGCTGAAAGCCAGAGTTCTCAAGCAGAAGTGAAAGAGGTAGAGATGCTACACTATGACCAGTGGAGGACATATGACAGACTATAAATATTCAGAGCTAAATAGGGAAACACTGAACAGAGATGGAATTACTTAGGATGTCCACAGGTATTAAAACAGGTTAGTGAGTAAAAGCATAAGGAAAGGAAAAGTGTAAACTTCAGGAAGATAAAACTTCCTCAATATCATTTCCATGTAGCTGCTAATTGGGTAATGGAGTCAACTTTTGTGAGGGACAGAGAAATGCTAATAAAAAGCAATGGAAAATGAACTACAGAACCTATATTGGCACAAATGTGATATTGACCCTGACACAGGGTCAATATCTATTGTATTTCTAGTTTTAATAGTTCCACATTCCCAAGATAATAAAAAATCTGAAAAAAGTGTTCGTATAGCAGAGTGACAGGTGTAGCAACATTCTCAGGGGAGAAAATAAACACCAAAGGTTGCTCCTGTATAACACTTCTTGGTGTGCTTCATACTTCTCCCTGCTTTAGATCTGCACTTAAGGACTGGTCTCTCAAAACATGTGTAGAAGAGCATCAGATCTACTTCATAAAGCTTCCAGACATACCCCATGTAGTATGACAATGAAAAGTTTCAAAGGTGCTCATTCGTAAGCAACAATTTACAGATGTTAAGTGTGTGAGGTGGTCAGACTTGGTTTCCCCTGCACAGGGAATCCTGCAATACACCTTCTGCACGTTTGTGATTTCTAGTGAGGATTAAGTTATCACATTCCTTTAAGCTACACCAGTGAGACTGATGATCTAAAATAAGTTTACTTCTTTATCTTGTTACAACCTTGTGACAGACTTTGTAGGATCTTTTTTCCCTCTTCCCTGCATAGCTAAGCCATAATTTCCTTAATATAAGTTGATGGAACCAACTATCACATTACCAAAATGCCCACAACACTGACATCCTAGCCCTGCTGCCAGACATGCCTAACATTGGGTGCATTCTTTTGGAAAACTGCTTCCCAACTTGTTTACCCTGGATGACCTGCTAGTGCTGCATGTTTTAAAGTGGAGGAGGCAAGGAGAGGAATGTCCCAGTTATTTCTTAAAATCCATGAAATTTATTTTTTGTCACGTATGTAACTTAAAAGTAAAATTCAGGCCCAGTAGTAATGTTTCTGACTTGCTGAAATGTGTAATAAGAAATGTGTAGAACATGCTTTTGGTACTGACAGCTAGCACGGGCCAGTATTCGGTTAAAGAATTATTCCCTTTCCCACCTGGAATATTTCTGTGACCTTGTAACTCTGAGTGATAACAAAAAAGAATGCCTAAGTTAATCTCTGGAGCAAGGAAATCATTGTGTGTATCATGATAGAGAAGGAATGGCTCCATCAATATCCAAAATACATAGTTTTTGTCAACAGCTAATTAGCACAAATGAAAAATCTGCCTGATACTGCCATCCTGTCTACTGATAACAGGTATCATACACTAAATGGGCATTTTTATGAGGAGTTTTTGTGGTAAGGAATCTCTGCTCTCCAAAGAGACAACAGTTCATTTACACAGGTAATGATGCTCCTTTCACTAACACAAATCCATAGTTTCATCCTCAAACTGAACGCTCGCAAGCCACGGCAGAACAAGCTGACAGATGGGTAATTCTGGCAGAGCTGAGGCACAAAGGCAGCCAGGGAGCTGCGTGGGGCTGCAGCAGGACCCCCCTCCCTCCTGTGCCCAGCAGCACTCACGGGGGTACTGGGCGGCCGTGGCCTCCTGCGCCCCGGCAGCGAGGGACAGCGAGCGCGTCTCCGAGTCCGGGGAGTTGGTTCTGGTGTCCATATCCCCTTTCAGGATCAGCCAGCTGGTCTTCAGCTGCAGAGAGGAAAAGCCTGTTATAAGATACAGGATTTAGCACCTGGAGGCAGTTCAGCACTCCTACCTCGGCTATCTCACATGCCTTGTGAACTGCTTCTCTGTTAATGCTCACTGCAGCTCGTACCATCCTTTATCAAATTATAAAAGCTGACTGAATGGTGAATTAGACATCACAGCTACCAGAAACTTTCAATTTTTAGCTGCACTGAGGATAGTTTCTCTGTTTATGAAGCTGCCCACTGCGCCCCAGTTTAGAAGGAGCCCTATGCCAGTTTCTTATAATTAATCTGCTCTTGACATTTTCTTCTAGGATGATACGCATCCTATGTCAGCAGGATTAGCTGAATCACCAATGTAGACATTGAGACCAAGTGAAAATCCAGTTCATTGCTCTTAATCTCAATATCCCTTCTTCTCTTTACTGTAGAATGTACATTCTAAACCCTCTGGGTGAGAGATTAAGCTTTTCTATGTCTTTTCAGAAAGACTTAAAAGTAGTAATGATTATTTCAATTACTTAAAAGAATAGCCTTACATATGAATGTGTTTTAAAAACCAGTTACTTCAAGAATGATCAATACTTCCTTTTGTTCTTTCTGATCATTACCTTCTTACTGTCCTGATCCAAGCTTCCATCCTCCCCTTCTGATCTTCTTGCTGCTGTAAGATTTAAATTAATTTTAAAAATTTGAACAGAATTCATCTTATTTTTTGTCTTCTGTTTTGACTGTACTTATGTTCCAAGTATTTTTAAGAGGGGGAGAAAAATCAGTTTAAAAAAAATAAGAGTGTGACAGAAAATTTGATGTATAGAGCTGTGGCTTCACATAATTAATCAAAGTAATTCTGAAATTATTACAGTTATCCTTCATGTATACAGTGAATTTAGAGAATCTATTCCTGCTGGACTTTGAACCTTCATTTTCAGGAATAAACTACTTTTGGGGAATGATTGGTGGGAAAAAGAATTGTACATCATAACTTAGGGACAAATTTCTATGGGCACCATTTACAGGGAAGCCACTTCCCTGTTCTGTGTTACAACCATGAAAATACAAGCAGTCACACAGATATTTTGTAGTCAGCACACCTGGGCGTCCTGGGATCCCAAAGAGGATAGACAATCATGGTAAAGAAAATTATGAACAAACATGGCATTGCCTCTTTATCAAATATTACTTAAAATATATTTATTAAATATGCAAGGGAGATTTCATCAGACTCTAAAATTCAAAATTCTTGACCAACAAATTTTTATGATTGTATTTTCCTCGTCTGCCCATATTGTCCTCTTAAAGAATGTTTCTCAAAAATAGTTGCTGATGTTTTACCATTGGCTAATACATTTCCTTGTAACCTTTCAACTTGCTGAGAAGAAAACTGAAAACCTAAAAGCTCTTCATTAGATAGTTCCCAACCCTTGAATGTGTTTTTCCTTGTCTTTTATTTCCCAGGGTATTGTTCCAGACAGCGAGTTACTCTCAAGAATCTTACAGAAAGTTCTGTGCCAAATTTCACACAATTTCAGGTAAGTTCTTAAAATTTGAGCCCTACTTGTCTTTGCATCCCTCTGGGTAGTTTGGAGAGATTTTTAATGGTGCAAAACTTGAATAATGGAAGAACAGAGCATAAATTTAAGCTCATGACAAATGAATGTGACAAAGGGGGTTGTCTGCAATGCCCGAGAAAAATGGCCCCGTGCAATGTAGAAAGAAAATGTAATTATTATTAAAAGAAAGAGTACAATAATACAAAAGTTAAGGCTCAGATGAGATTCTTAGAGACAGAGATTAAATTGCACCATTAGCAGTGCTGGAAAACTCCCAGCAAGTTGGAAAAAACTCTGTCCTCTCCAGTTCCCCAGCCATCATGTCTGCAGAGGATCTGCCCGGTGTCTAAACAACACAGGTGAAAGGCCACCACCAGAAGTATTTCAGTGTTATTCTGATGCAATTTCTGGTGCCATTGTACAGCTCACATCCAGACCTTACTGGTTTTGCTGAGGAGGTGTTAGCTAAAAATGACAAATTGCCATATGGAGAATATCTGTAGGTTAGAGGTGAAAATCTGGAACTGTAGAGGGTTTGGCTGGTTTGGCTGCTTCCCCTCACTTCAATTTATTGTGGGAATAAAAAAAAAAAAAAAAAAAAAGGTTAGAAAACATGAACAGCATTATGAAAAAGGCTCTCACAATCATCTCATAGCATCCTGACAAGGGTATTTTCCCAAGATGGCAAGCTGCTTCTCTGAGGAATAAAATAGGAAGGAATATTCAAATATGACAGATGATGAATAAAGTCCCTCTACTACAAGAAGGCCTTAAACCTGGTTCACAGGCCTTAAACCTGGTTCACAGACATTCACAGATATTTTGGAGCACACCCTAAACTGCAAGTCAACAAGTTATTCCAGGTTACGTGTACAGATCTTGCTCCCGTTACATCAGAAATTTGTATAGAGGACCTGATGCAATTTTTGTAAATTTTATTTTTGTTTCAAAACATTGATGTTTTCAAAGGAAAAACACCTCATGCTTGATTCAAGATTTTTATTCAGAAATTTCAATAAAGTTCCACCAGATCTTGAGAGCATCTGACTTCAAAGAGATGCAGAGGATTTACAGCCAAAATCAGTGAGGGCCATAAAGGCCAACCCCTGCCAAGCTCCTGAGAAGGCTTCAAATAACACAGTGCTGGCAGATAAATCCAAGTGCCCTGAATTTCATCACTACTGAGCATTAGCTTCACTACTACAAGGGATACTCAGTTCTGCCATGAATCCCAATGTGATTTCAAAACTTGTTTAGTAACTTTGAATGATATTCAAATATTTCTAAAACACAAACACACACACACAACCGTGCAGGCTCCTACACTCTTCACTTTCCATCTCCAGCTCTGAGCCTGATCTCTTGCATGTTCCATTCTTCCACCACCTTTTTCTCATTCTGGAATCGGTTGTTTATAATAGAAACACAGAAGCTGTAGCTACAGCAATCTGTTGGGTGCTGATGTAACTAATACCTTTTAAACTAAATGTTTTGGAAGAGCTTCTTGCACTTCTTGTTTTAAAGAACATTTTTGTGCTTGTTTGTTCAAACTTGGTCTCTTCAACAAAGGAATGTTCTCTGGCTCCTTTTCAGTATGAATTGGTGTCCCATTAGCTTAAGGAGCTAAATCATCAGCTGCTTATGTGTTCATGCTTTAGTTGCAAGTCCTTCCAGAACAAAAGATAAATGTTTTTAAATTTGATTTTAATTTGTATTATTTTATTGAAAGACAAGTTTATTGATTTTTGTTGTTGTTGTTGTTTCTAGATTTTATGGGTTTGGGGGATTTTTTAGTTATAGTAAATTATGTTTTGCCCTCTGGTAGGAAAAAAAAATGTATTTTCAACACAATCTTTCAAAACGTCTTGAATAATGTAGAAAAGAAAGTTTAAAACATATATTCTTGTTAACCTATTGAGATTGCTGACTTGCTAGTTTAATTCTCTGCTCACTTCAGTGATTACAAGGACAACTCCATACAGCAGTGCAAAACTGACATAATCCAGACTTCGACAGACAGAAACTGATATAAAAATGCCCAGTCTGCAAATATAAAGCTGATGCTTAGAATCCTCTTTGCAAACCAAATGTATCTATAAAATTAAATTACACAGCCAGGATACAGGATATCAGAGTCCTATCATCAGCTTCTGTAAATGAGTGAAACTATGCTGACTTACACTAGATGATCGTTACTTTGCATTTGTTCATGATTTTTCCAAACTGCATTATAATAATCAACCTTTTTAGCTGTCTGTTTGTCTTTTCTTTTCTTTTGCTCAGCCTGAGAAGTTGCTACAATCTAAGGACTTATATTGAGGAGCAGGCACAGAGAGGCAGGAGAGGGCAAACAGGGCCTGGAACAGCGGTCAGGGCATAGCACAGCAGTTTATGTGGCACTTATTATCAGCTCTGAATAATCACAACATATCAAAATACCAGGATCCCAGTTTTGGAGGACTTACGTATCCTTGGACATCATGATATACAAAATGCTATTTAATTTTCATGTTACTTTTTCTCCTTTTCTATTTGAGGTTGTAGGGATATAATGACATGCAAAGACTACAGCAAATGAATTTGGGAGTCAATACACATTTTTTTGCAAAGACACATAGATAAAACTGCAAGAGAGAAAAGCAGACTGTACCATGCTGTTTGTAGATAGGAGGTTTCCTATAGATGTTATCTTTTACGCCAGTGTCTGGGGAAGAGGAAAGAGAAAGGAAAGAATGAAAGAATAAACAAGCAGTTCAGACCATGCTGCTCTTGTTTCCTCTCAGCAACAGTAACAATGCAAAAACCTCAGCAACCACTATGCATTCATTCAGTGCTTTGCCACTCACTGGTAATTAAAAGAGAATGGAACTTTATCCATCATAAGCTAAAAACCTTTATACCTACCTATGCAACATAATCCCCCCATAGTCCCTCAAAATGCTCTAAGACAACTTGAGTGGCATCCCTTTGGTGATATATAGGTGGTTTCATCTGCACTACCAGTATATACTTCATAATCAGCAAAAAAGAAACTGGCACACTTGCCACTACTGGAAGTTCATATAGGAGTACAACAGACTACTACAACTGTCACACTGGAAAATAATTTTCTCCATTATTTATAAATATAGTGTACATGTTCAGGTATGAATGTTTATACTGGAAATACAAATTATTCTTTCAGGAAATCCTATAATTTGTCTGTACTCTGAATTGTACAGCTAACTTGACCTTCCAGGCATTTTCTGGAAGCACTCAGAGCCACAGTCCAGGGCTCCCATATCACATTGTACAGACATCAGATTTACTCAGTACTGTGAACCTGAGCAGATAGAATTCCTAATTGTGGCCTGTTTACAGAAACATTAACTACAGAAGCTAAATGTGAATAAAAAAAAGAATTACAGTGAGGAGGTAGATGTGCTTAGCAGTCAAAAAGCTAAACAGTGTGGATGTAAGTTTAATGTGCTCGCTGACTGAACTTGAAAACAGTAGAGTACATATACAAAGACAGCCACAATGAGCCTCCTGCAGTTCTGAAGTCCTACAGCTTCTTTTAAAGTTTATGTTACTATTACTTAAATTCAGATAATAGAATGATAAGAAAAAAAAAACCCAAATATCAAAAAGCCCTTCAGTCATTCCTCCTACACAAAAATTCAATATATCTATGCAGTTATGGCACTATAAATCATAGGATCTTAAAAACATTAAGGCTGTAAAAGATGTCTAAGATCATCTAGTTCAGCCACTAACCCAGCACTGCTGTAACTTTGTACTCTTGGTAACATTTTTCATTCTGTTCCTTCTGTAAAGCAATTTTTTAACATATAGGTACATGGGCACACAGCTTTCTTTTATTTTTGAGATGAAGTTTAACAACAGATATTCACTTAGCAGATATTTTCCCTTTATACACTTTGAAATTCACAAATCAATGCAAAAAAAAAAAAAAGGAATTACATTCAGAAGAGAACAAACAGGTGAAATTGAAGATCAAAAGCTAAGCATTTAATGCCTACCTGGAATATGGAAATGCCTAGGAGCCTGCTGATAGACAGAAGGTGAAGATTTGCTGTCAGAGTACATGGATAAGCTTGGAGTGCTCCGACCACTTTCACTGCCTCCAAGGGGAAGAGCAAAGAAAGCAGATAAAAGAAAAATGGAAAGCAAAGTAGAGTATTTCAAGCATAAAAGCTTGTTCAGAATGACTTGTTAATCCAACAGTTATGAATATATGTTTTTGTAAAACTCATTCTTTTTCAGCATTGTATATTGGCTCAGACTCCAAACACCTCATCAAAAATTACTATCTGATAGATATCAGATTAAGATGCCCTACTTTGAAGTGAAAATTTCTCTTTTAATGATGCTTTAAAAAAGAAAATCAAAGGATAAGAACATCCAGAATCTTGCAATGTGTTTTGCATAGCCTTAACTGATTAATCTACTGATCAAGTGTTTTAAAAGTTTAATGCTATGGCTCGTAGCCTGCCCCTGAAAATAGTAATACATAATTCAGTAGTGTTTAAATTATCTCAAAGCAGGACTAGACCAAAACATAAACATTACGGTTAAGTAAAAAAAATCCTGCATGTATCAGTGACAAAAAGAGATGTTGAAATTTGGCTTTCAATTGCAAACTTTTCCCACAGGTAACATGCCACAGCCTTTTTATGCAAACAAGGTTGGATTATCAAGTCATGGATCTATAATGCCATAGTCACTTCACCAGATTTCAAGACACACTTAGGATTTTTTCCATCTTCATTTTTCAACTTGTTTTTTCAAATGTTTATTAGGTGCCATTCATCACCTCTTGGCTTATTCCCTGAAGCACACTCTATGGCATTATAGTGCTGCTTGGCAAACAAAAAAGTAAAGCTCTACTTTTTTGGGACTTGTAAAATCCTTTTAGTTTACAGCACTGTTAAGCAACTGGAAGCAAACATGACATTTATTCTTACATCAAATGACTGTTAATTTGCTGTTATTGTTTTAGTGTGGATGAAGCACAAATTTAATGGCTAGTAATGATGATGGTGTAGCAAGTTTCTGTGGGTAAAGAAAGTACAGCAGCTCAGGGCATTAGATCTGCCTTCATGAAAGGGATGTTTCATAACCACAGACCTACGGGGTTACCAGAGCTGTCGAGGCCATGCCCATGGAGGTGTCTCTGCTGACACAGTGGGTGCATGGCCATCCCACTGTCACCAAAGCCAGCCTTGCCATGCACCACTGAGGCCAAGGGGACAGTGCCACCGAGCCCAGTGGGAGCAGAGACAGGACAGACGAGGTCAGAAGAGCGTGCTGTGCTATCTCATGACAATACACTAACTAATCCATCCTAAATTTTGTGTCTGTAGTGTTCACAGTAGACCAAAAATTAAAACTCAAAAGCTATTCAGCTGTGACCACTCAGTAAGAGTGATTTCTTGTTGAAAAAGGGTAATCTGGGATGTTGAGAAATCGAAATCCCAACTACAGGTGCTGATGGCCTATGGTCCTTCCAAAATGTTAAGAAAAAGTTATGGAATTACTAAGAATCTGGTGCATCACCACAAGCTTGCAGGCATGTAGTCCTCAGACAAGAAACCAGACAGTTATTCAGTTTCTTGATTCCTCCTTTGCCCTTGGAAGGAAAAAAGTGGGGACAAGTTTTCATTCCACATTTATGAATTCCTACTTTCTTTGCTGTTTGCTGCCTATCCCTATTAAATAGAAGAAGCCTCAATGTCACTAGTAGATAGCTTCTAAAATAAGGTCCATTACACCTCCAAAATTCTTAAAAATTTTGTAATGTCCTTCACTCAAATTAGATATTGTTATTGGAGTTATCTAATTTAAACAGAAAATGAAAGTTCTCAAGCAATTTCCACAGTGTATTGATTCCTCATTTACTTAAAAATTAGCATATAATTAGAATGTCTATTCATATATGATCTGCATGAATAAACACTTAATTGAGCAGTGACCCAAGGTGCTGGTATTGTACACACAGAGAAAGTAATTTCTCAGTGATAGGAGAGAGTGATAGGATAGGATAGGATAGGATAGGATAGGATAGAGCAAGGAATCAGGAGGAAGCATTAATTAAGAGGAATAAACTTGTAGGAACACAAGATATGAGTGCAAGCACCAGGGGACAGGGAAACTAAAAATTGCTCAGTGCAAGGATCATCTGTGTGGAGCAGTTTGCAAAGTCATCCCCTCTAACTTGCTCAAAATGGAAGAGTTAAGGATGAAATTATGGAAAAGGTTCTTCTTGGACTCCACTCGTACAAACTGATGCACATTTGAACTTTAATTCTGCCACTGATTCAGATAAACATGTGAGTAGTTGTATTTCACATTTTGCATACAAAAGTGTTTAATAATAAAGCAAACAGAAGACCCGTGTAGAAAGTTAATGTGTAGGAACTACAGACAGCTGCTTAAGCTAGGCTATAATTTAAATCTCTAAAATGAGACTTTGCCAATAAACTATCTCTTTCAAGGTTTGCCTAGTATAGACTGAAGAACTTCAAATAAATTCTCAGAGAAAAGGCAACTACCAGAGAGAGCAATTTTTCAAACTTTTGGGTTTGCCTCCTGTCATAAGCAGCCACAGGCTGTGATCAGTGAAGAGCAAAAAACCAGAATCCTGAACTCTTCCCTGAATGTTTTTTAACTTGGAAAGAATCTGGGAAGGCGTACTTTAAACTTGAGTGTAAACCACAAAAACATCCTTGTGTCTCCTGGCTGCTGACAGGGCAGGCTGTACTTTTAACCCTGTGTGTGTAGAGCCAACTGACCAGGGCTCAGATCATGCTCCATTTTCAAGGGGAAAAGTATAATATTGCTTGTATCTCCTACTTAGTCAGCTTGTATCTTACCTGTGAGGATGAGAAATTTTATAATAAGTTACAGTAAGAGCTATCCAAGTTCAGGGCTGAAGAACAAACAGATGCCACTGGCTGAATGAGGGAGCTGTCCAAGCCTACTCACAAAACTGGACCCTTTAATCTTTGCCTATGGTGACTAAATTAGAAGAAGTTTTTTGAAGTTTGATGACTAATTCTTTTCAAGTTTTCAAAGCCAAAAAAAAAAAAAAAAAGAGGTTTGGAAGCTGTGCTCCTGCACTAGAAAGGCAAGATAATTTCCACTATGTTTTAAGCAAACATTTCTTTCAACAGGGCTCATCACACTCAAAGATTCATCACCTCAAGAGGAACTACTACACCAAGCATAGGTGCTTGGAATATCACAGATATCACTTGCAGTGGCATGAACTGTGAAACTTTCTTGAAGTGAGGTTGTCACAGGACTTATTTTGAAGACAAAAATCCTTAAAAGAGCACAACCTTCAAATTATCTGCCTTCATGATAAATAGCAGCTCATCCCAATACACTTCTTGGGAGCTAGACTGCAGAACACTGATGGAAGAACAGGAACTTAGTAATCATATTTATTACTGGAAAAAATTATGAACCCTGTCATTCTCAGGAAGAATATGAGGCAACCTCAGTGAAATCAAAAGGAAGATTTTGCTTGTCTTAATTTCCCTAGGGTAGTAATGTATCTGTCTACTGGAGGTGTAAAGAAATCTCTTTTATGACATAAGTGGAGTGCTGGTTATAAAGAGATTACTTCTACTATAGTGCAGTGTATTATTTTTGGATCTTATAATTTTTTTAAAATAAGCAGGATCTCACTTTCTTACAACTGAAGTGGGAACATCAAGGTTGGTCTGGATACAAACCAACTATTGCTACAATCCCACTCTTCCCACACTAACCACTTTGAAGAGAAAAAAAGAGCACATCCACACCATCAAAAGGCTTCCTAAGATAAGGAAAAAAACCACATTCTGGAACCCTGAATTCAGAGACCTTGAAGAGGATGAAGCAAATCTTCTGACTCATTTTGGACAGAGACATTAACTCAGTGTAAACCAGTGAATAATCTATTCAACCTTGGCAGAGCTCAGGATTACCTACTTAGGAAAATTATATAAAGGTTCACCTACCTCACAAGAACACTGTAGGCACTAAAAGGTACTGTCTGCAAAATAGTTTAGCTCCTTGATAAAAAAAAGTGCCTCAGAATTGCAAAATATTATAATTTTGATCACATTACTAATAATTATTTGGGCACAAGGAGCTACCACTTGACGATTCCTTCATCCAAACAGCAGCATTTAGTAATTGCTGCTTCTCTGAGAAACAGCAGGTAGCACTGAGCAGAAACTCATTTGCACAGGAGTGCTGCCGAGCAACTGCCAATGGGACTTTGAGAAAGAGCTTTCCAGGCACTGAAATCGTGTGCTGCAGCACACCAGAGAAGTTTCTCTTATTCAGTACACCAGGTTGGATAGAAACATCCAAAATGAGAGGACAGATAGAAAATCAGTTCAAACAGTGTCTCAGAGAATACCAGGGATTGTGTCAGCCTTTCAGAAGTGTGTGTGAGGCTGACTGCTCCTGGTCATGGAAAGGAGCTTTGAAGGTAGCCTCTAAAACAACAACTAACAGTTTAATCTCATCAGTTTGTTCCTCCAAATTTTCTCTCAAGGATTATATCTGGATGTCTCAAGCTTGATTCTGTTCCTGTTTATCTCAGTGAAATTCAGCTGACTTTGGGCAGCATGAGGACCCAAAAAAAGAGGCATTAGTTATTATTTCAAAGGCAATGAGTACCTGCTATTCACTTGAATGTGCAAGTCTGTCTCCTGCAGAGGGTCATTCCCTTTTCTTTACTGGTTACAACCTCAAGAACAACAGTTTCATTTTATTAAATCAGACAGTATATGAGAGTCAAGGAACAGGCATTGAAAATGTTTGCCATTGATGTGGCCTCACAGTTCATATTGTTACTAGAGAAGACAGACTCAGGGAAGACAAACGTGGTAGGTAAATGCCTTCTCTCTCAGACATTTACCAACTGACTAAAAAAAAATCTTTGCCTCAAAGGTTCTTGGTATTCCTCAGCACTGTCTCTTCACAACACGGAGGTTGCTAGAAGTTAATATCCACTGAAAAAAAAACCTAATGGCAAGGAGAACAAATTGTTACTGTTTTATAAGATATGGCACAGATTAATTGATAATCAGTGCCATTGCACCGATGTAACCAGCTGTCATAATTTTTGTCAATGCTACAAATAATATGAAGAATATCTAAATGCAGGTTGGAAGGTTAGATAACTGATCATCCTATGCTGTATCAAATGTGTAAGCTTATTATACTATTTAGCATCACCAAAAAGGGTAAAGGTATTTTAGAACTAAGAGATTTTTAAATATTTTTGTTCCTCAGTTTCATTATAGAAGCTAATTCTTTCCCTCTACCCCTCTGAAAGACACTGAACACTCACTGAAAAAGCAAAAATAAAACACCCCATACCCATTCAGTTTGTAAAACTTACACAGTACATCAAGGAAAGCATTTGCACAAAATTAAGACAAATGTTATCCAAGTGAAAGCCATGCTTGCACAGACATAAAAGTGAAACACAGCTGAATAAATCTACATTATCACAGCACGGTTTTGCATTCCTGGACCTTACCTTTGAAGAAAGGGATGTAATGATGTCTGAATGTAGATGTAAGGCTTGGGTGTTGGGGCAGGGAGATGCAGCTACTGGTACCAAGACTGTGAGTACCAGCTGGGGGCAACAGAGAGTAAGTGAAAATAAACTATTTAGTTCACTTACTGAAAGCCACAAATTACAATGCCATCCTTTTTTTTCAGGAACATTTTCCTCCTGATGCTTAGAAAACATACAGTTTACATTTAAGTCTTCCTCTTTCTCTGGTTATTGCTAAAAACATGCCAGTGGCCACACTATGGGGTCGGCCAAGGGACGGGGGGCTTTCTGCAGCCAGAAATCACCCAAAATGCTGGAATGCATCGGAAAATATTCCAGAAAAGGCACCACAAAAAGCACGGCTGCACTCAGGGGAAAACCTGCATATTAAAAAGCTGCAAGAGGGAATGGGAAATGCTCATAATGGATCTAATGAAATGAAATGGGAAGAACCTTGTCTCTGCAGAGAACTGTGCCACGAGTGGGTCCAGTTCTCACTGTCGGTGCTGCACACTGGTAGGATTTAGTTCACAGTGCACAGGGCACTCGAGTGCATGGCTAACTGAAGTATTTGAAGAAACATCCTGAAGTTATTTGAGCTCTGAAAGTTAGATATGCGATTAAGTACCTTGAAAAATATTCTCAAGTCATCTCTGCTTTGCTGCAATAATGTCCTGATAACACAGTTTGCAGGATCAGTGGCAATTATTTAAAATGGTGATTATGAAGATTATCTTCTAAATTTTAAAGCATTAGATTTTATTTGGAATTCCTTTTGTCTTTCCTCCTTGCTTTAACACTGTGCTACTAAGATGAGGCTACCAGACATTCAGCAGAGATTAATGTCACTCTAATATTTTTTTTTATACTCCACCTCATTTCCATTTTGTCAAAGACTTTGTGTAGTACAAATATTAAATTCCTGTAAAAACTGTTTCTATTACCTCTAAAATCTTCATTTCCCCTGGAAAGAGTAAGAACTTGCATATTTTCAAACTATTTTAGAATTATAATGTATCCCAAATGAAATTAAAAGACAACAACAAAAAAAATATAAACACTCTGTGTTCTTCACCTAAATGATGGAGTAGAGAAAAAATACAATTAATTTTGAGCAATGTCACCAATTACTTCCAAGGATAAAACTCTGTACAGAGTCCAAATATGAATGGGGTTTTGTATAACATTCCCATGCAAAGGTCAAAAGGAGATGATCCCTCTTGTCTGTGTAACAAGAGCACCAACACAGCTGCTACTACAGCCCAAAGCTGCAAAAAACACCCTATAAACTTCTAAACTAAAGCAACTTGGCCTTTAAAATTCAGCCACCAGAATTAGTCATTCCTCCAGCTCTTACACTGTGGAGAGGGGACAAGAACCATGACCCTGTGGTACAAGAACGTAACACAAGGTCACTCGATCACCCTCTTGGCTTTGTGTGCATTCACTGCTACTGTGCCACACCTTGGAAAAACTGTGGATTGAGTGTGTATCTTCAGGCAGGATGAGACCGGGATTAAGGCCCTTAAACCATCTTATCTTGTGTATACACAGAATCAATTTTTCGTAAATGCCTAGTTTTGTTTTCCTGGATGCACGTTCCTGAAGCAGTTGTTGCCTTTCGCTTCATGGAACTCACTCTTCACCGTAAATAAATCACTGCAATGAACTGCTACTCCACCTTAAACCCCTCTCTGCTGGAGTCAATTCTACTTACAACATTACAAAGTAATGGAAAAATCTAAAGAATAGGTAAGGCTGCTTTGGATTACCTGGTCTGCTGTAATGCTGAGGAGAATGGGAGGTGGGGGTGTACCGACCATAGCCCAGGGAGCCAGCAGAGCTAGGACTTGATGTCCTGTACTGCTTGAAAGATCTGTCATCTTGGTCACCCTTAGAGGAAGAGAGGAAACACATGTTATTAGGGAAGAGAAGCAACTTCTCAAACAGGCAGAATATGCCATCTCATCTGTTCCTGTGCTGTGTAGATGGGAGGCAATGCTGCCCTAAGATTCCATGCAGTCCTAATGAAATGGGGTGGCTTTCAGCACCTCCACCTGCAGAGTGACTGAAAGAGCTCTGCCAAGTACCAGAGAATGGTCATGGTGCCAGGAAAGTCAGCACAGACATAAATCTAAAATTACAATTTAGTTTGAAAAGAACAGTAAAGATGTTGCTTGAAAACAGTGTAATTTCTTGAACAAATGAAAGTGGGTGGAAGATGAGCTCAGGTCAGCATGACAGAGTTATGGTCACTTTGCACCCATATGAATAGATGCATAATGGTTGCAGACAACACAAAAATCAGCATTTGCTGGTTTCACTACATCATGAAACTGATTGTGTATAAATTGCCCAGTGTGACACACTGTAACATGGCCATTACCTAAGAAACCCAATATTAACACATTAGCATTAATACTGCACCATTGTGCAGAGGCATTCATACAATCCAATTCCCAATAAACCCCTGGCTTCAACAAGCTAAACCATGTACACATCCTCCAAGCCTCTGATTTTCAACAGCTTGTTAAACTGCAACTGCAATTTGCAAATAGGGTCTTCTAAACAGTAAAGCACTACTGAGTGAAATGGATGGGGAAGTGACTTTGTAAAAACTAGCTATAAAATCAAATTCAAAATTCCCCTGTTTATAAGACATGTGAGAATAGGGTTAAGTTCATATTAGAACAGATCAATGTAACCTGCAGATGCTCTTTTATGGAAAGTCATACTTAAAAATTGCTTCCCCTCTCATGTTCCAGTAGAAAAGCATGAAGATATCCTACACTGTGACAGTGTCAAGTGACAAGTGTCAGTCACTTATCATGAATATGGGGATGCCTTTAGGCATCTGTGTGGTTCCCACTGGATCATTCATCATTTAAAGAAACCATACATCCTATTAGCCCTACCATCATCTCCCAAACTCCTATCAGAACAACTTAATCATGTCCATACATTCATCTTTAGATGAATTTGGCTTCTCTGGGACTATCCTTGACTCTACAGAGATGTACAATATTCTCACATCACCAGGTTTCTCCTGTGGACAAGATATGCTCCATCCATTCAACATCACCCCAGACCTACCAGCTACATTTCCAAAAGAGGAAACTCAGCTCAGTAGTGGCTAGCAGCATTATTACTTTAACATCATGTTCAGAAGTAATTTTACAAAAAGCAAAGAACAACTGATGCCATCCCAAGCATGCAGCATTCTGCAGGCATTCTGCCACCAACTTCTCTATGTCCAGCTTGAGATGTTTCCTTCCCACTGTGCCTACATTGTGTAATACTCACTCTAACCTTTGTGGAGAGAAATACAAGCAGTATTGCAATGGCTCTACAAAGTCATATGATATTTAAATGGTATTTAAATATCATATGAGCATCAGCTAATGGTCTGTGAGGTGTCCAATTGTATGACACAGTGGGATTCTCCCCTAACAAAAAATCCTTGCAAAAACCGGTGACAAGTTTGCAGATGATGATGCCCAAGCACCTGATCACAGATTCCTTAAAAAGAGACAGCAAACACAGAGAAGATGGGTAACATGGGAGTATACACAAATCATGGCAGTCCCAACCTCCACACCAGTATCTCATCTGGAAATTAAAACTGGCAGTTTGGTAACTGAATTTAAAGCATATTATTATAATCTTACAAAACATCAAGTTTTCATATTGTTTCAGACCTTACCTTTGTGTACCTTATGTCTCTGCAAGGAACAGTCAATCTAGTCCATGTCACCAAATATTTTACATGAAACATGCTTTTATTTTTAAATTATTCAAAAAATTGCATCTCTACTGGTTAACTGCTCTGTTAACCAGCTCTTAAAGTCCTTAATTCTCCATGATTACCAAAATTTTGCAGTGCATAAAATTAGCATAATAGAGAAATTAGAAATCCAGGATATGTAATTGAGTTATTATCTGGGAAATACATTAAATGCTTTCACTGCTTCCAAAGTTTCAAAGTGTTTCTTGAAACAATGACTAAATTAATGCACATCAAAATACTCAGACCTAGAAGTTCAGGTATGTGCAGATGATTTAAAGGAGGTGCACACAAATAGTATAAGTAGTTTAACTATTTGTGGAATAAAAAAATGAGAAGAAAAAAAGAAGAGAAATCTATGCCAAGCACTAATTTGAATCAGCTCACACTGGTAGCATTAAATGTGAACATAAATCATATTTCCCAATATAATTTATTCAGTAGAGCTTGAAGAAGTGACCGCCATACAACCTTTATTTTGGAAAGCAGAAACATGGATGACAGTGGAGACAGATGCATACAGATGACAATCCAGAAGCAGAGCATATATTGAACACAAGTAACACTCTGAAAATCATAAATTATAAACCCCATGCACTGTAGAGGCAAGGGGCGAACCCCATGTTTCAGACACTGCTGGTTATTAATATGACCAGGTTTATGCATCACAAAATGGGTCAGAATAGGAGAACAAAGGCACTGGGGATTACCTCAGTAGGTGTTGGAGAGAGCAACTGAGGTGACTGCAAACAGCAACACACAACAAATTAGTGATACAAATTCATGCATGATGTTACTCGTGAGAAGAATTACTCTTAAAATATCACTATCCATGTTTAACACATGATACAGTTAGGAAAAACACCTGTCAATTAAGTTAGGGCATTTTTTTTTATTATCTGTTTTTAATTAAGTACATAAGGACTAATATATAAATAATTTCATATTTGTCTTTGAGTGATTTCTCTACTTCAAAATCCTGGGGTCTGGTGCCACAGTCCTGTGGCACAGAGAAGGGCAACAGGGAACTCCCAGTTACAGCAACTGCCTGAAACTACACACAAACCCTAATTAAATCTGTATTGAAGGAGCTCCAAAAACAGCACTAGAACTGATCATTTTAAGGGAAAGAAAAACACCTGCACTATTTCTTTTCAATTAAACATCATGTAATTTGACAATCTGCTGCTCATTTTCCTTTCCAAATCAAACACTATGTTTGGTTAGTTGAGCAAATAGACTGAAAGTATGGCAGCTGCAGGTAAGATGCCAGAATGCTGCAACTTGGATTCTTTTCCCCCTGGTAATATCAAGGATAATAAATATTTGGAGCACCAGGAAATATGTTGGATTGCAAATACAGTCCATCTTTGGTCTGTGCACCTCTGCCAAGCCTGGATGTCACCAGGCACTTGAGGCAAGCTACAACCATCATCAGCACTAACAAATTTTGACATAGAAAGGAAGTGATTGTGCTCCACAGGTTCAGGGTGAGGCAGCAGCTTTGGATTTTGTGAAATCAGAAACCTGAATACCATTTAAACCCTTTACCAAATGCAATTTAATTATTTTTTAATACTTTACAATGGAGCTATCATGGTTCACCACTGTGCAGAGAGGACTTGGAAGAAAGTCTGCAAAACCTAACATATGCACTACACTTCAGCTGGCAGTGGTACTGAGACCTTAGTGATACTGATTAAGTATAAAAGGTGCAAGTGGTAGCATGACAAGGGCTATTCTAAATCTCATGACCATTAATTATAGCATTTATTTCTGCCCATTCCCTGACACCTGGAGAGAACAAGCAGACTTCCATGCTAGTCAGTATGTATCTTGCTCATGTCTAGCATATTGTAAAGGTTTAATTTCTAAAACTTTAGCTAAAATTATAAAAGCAATCAGAAAGTCAAATGAAATGCAGGTATGTTCAGAGAAGAAAAGCTAACTTGCATGACAGGAGTTATATAGAAGTATGTTTCACAAAGCCTGGAATTAGTATTAGTTATTAGTATGTTAGTATTGTGTTAAATTAGATTCCATTAGCACAAACTGTATCATATTAGCTCTGCATATGAAAAGGCTGCAGTGCATGCATGACATGAGGATGAGGTTAAGTAAAGGACAGTTGAAAGAAACTCATACACAGGAAAGTGATACCACTGTTGTGTTACCAAAATAACATGGTACACTTTGATTAAAGAAAAAAAATTATGAAAGACATTTGGCTTTGCTTCTCATTTTTGCATTATAATTAGCAATGGCTCCTGTTTCCTACCGCATGCAGAACTACTCCCATGGAAAAACATTTTAATTACATGTCATCTCTTTAAAAAATGATCACAGAAAACAATGTTTTAATTTCTACAAACTAAAAAATGAAATTAACAGAAATTAACATCTTGGGTTTGGTTGTTGTTTCCTTTTTTTTTTTTTTGGAAGGCATTGTGAATGAATGGATGACATGACTCAATTAACTAGAGCTCTAAAAGTTACATTTTTAAAAAAAACATTATGCACATGTTAATAGTCTTTGGCAACATGTTCAATGATGCACATAGAAACTGAAACTCAGAGTAAAAAAAATGCCCATGTTTCAGTACCTCCCCGTAACTATGCCTGTCATCTGAAGAGTAACTGATATATGGAGAATAGGAGATCATATCTGGGCGGTCAATGTTATAGATGGCTTTATTTTTAGGAAGAGCAGCCAAGTCCCTGTAGTCAAGAATTTCATCTCCAAGCTTTGCCTAAGAAAAGGAGGAAAGAAAGCAGTGAGAATAAGAAAGAATATGAGGAGGATGCAATCAGACAAGGAAAGATAAATGTAGGTAGAAAAGTCATAATCATAATAAACCACTTTTTTTGTTTGTGAACATTTAAATCTCTTGTATTTACTACACTATGCTAAATATTACTGCTGTTTTCTTTTAGAAACTGTTGCCTTCTACCTTGTCACTGGCATTTGGCTAACAGGAGTAGCATGGCATCATTCCAATTCCCTGGTTATATCCCACTTACTCCTGGATGCACAAACAGATATAGGGGACATATATTGTAGTCTTTTTCAGTTTTCCAAATCACACTGAATTTTGAAGTGGTTTTGGTGTGCAGAATTCCCCTGCTGTAAGCAGTTGTGAATAATCAAATATGTATTTCCAGCATATACTCTCCAGATGCTGGAAAGCATTACTCAGCTCTTTGATCTTTCCCATTCACTTGCGTCCCACAGCTTCACCTCCTTTTCTATGTCTAAACAGCCCTTAATTATGGGTCACAAACCAGCAGATGATGGATTTGCACCATGGTGGAAGATCACAGATGCCACTCAAGTAAAGTTAGTAAAGTTCAAATCCTCTTATGAGACTCACACAACCAACAGAGGGAAAGGACTGTGCTGGTCCCTGTTCTCCCACTACACATATTCCAAAAGCGTAACTTATTACCAAGCTGCCACATTTGTACAGATTATCCTCAGGATAATTGCACCAAAACTGTATCCAGCACATACTGTGCTGTTTATATGATGACGATGACCATGTTGAGAGTGGAGAAATGGGCAGCATAATGGTCTCATTCCCACTTCAAGTTTTGCAGAAGGAAAAGCTCTTTGTTGGCAACAAAATGATGAGTGAATCTTGCTGTGCTCTGAAGATCTCAGTATGATCAGCTATAAAACTGTAATAATGTTTTCCACATGCAAAAATACAAAAGTATCCAAGATTTATATGTGCAGTATTTCTGTTTTTTCTTAGTATGGACTAAGAAAAGCTCAACAGATTTTCCAGGGGAGTTTTCTATCAGATTAATAATCCAGGAAAAATTTAGTCTGACAATTTCCAGTTACCCCTTTTTCTAAAACAATGCATGAATTTGTGCAAACATAAACTACGTAAAAAGAAGGAAGATTACTCTTAAATAAGAAAGTAGAACCATGGTACCATAACCATCACATATTCCCATCCTGAAAATGAATGAAAAAATGTGTTTTAACCAAGTATGTGATTCTTCAGCAATCTACAGATCTCACTTTCTTTGCAGCTCCTTGAAGCTAAAAAGCAATGAAATAGCCCCTTAATAAAAATAAATCCCTCCCTGCTGAGAAACCAGCAGAGAGCTCTGATGCAGAGACAGCTAATGCTGTCCCAGAAATACTTTGGGCAGCATTAAACCTACAAGGAAGGCCAAAGAGGCTGTGATTTCAGTTAAGGTATCCAGGTTTTTGGCCATTATTCTAGTGAATCCAAATATTTAAATGTGAACTACAGTCATTTTGGTCTCCATCTAGATGTGTGACTTCCCATTAGATTTCAGATCTGTCAGAGGAATACAACTTATCTTGTTACGTAATTCCTTTCAGTTTAGATATAACAGAGTGGGCAAATTTGGATGAAGAAACACCTTAGGGGTACAGTTGCTTTCTAAACACTCAATTATTCAAACATTGAGTCTTTTCTGTTACATTTTATAAATTTTTATTTTATTTGTTTCACCTACATTCAATTATGTGAATGGAGTTCAAATCAGCTCAGGAAAGCTCAAATTACAGCTGAGAGGCTTCAAGCCATTTCTTCAGTAACCTGGTATTTAGGTTCTGGTAAAACCATGCTCTAAGTATAGAGTATCTGTTTCATTTGGAATATGTAATTTTATAAACATGTAATTGTGAATATGAGCTGTAGAAAAATTTAGTGTGATTTCTATTCCTTGTATGAGAGCACATATAACACAGCTATGTGTAAGCCTTAAGTTGGAGCACCTAATTCTGTCCCAATAAAATTAAGCAAACTATAAAGTAGAAATTTTTAAACATAATTTAATGGCTTAATTTAGAAATCAACCAATTTTTAATTAGAGACTCTGAGGGGTTGCCAGCACTATGGAAAATTTCAGTCTGGGTATAATGAAATCATCCCTAGAGGTCATGAAAAGATGCCCATTACCTTCAGAAGGCACTGGCCTGTGCCCTCTCTCAGGGCAAGAAGACACCAAAGTCTGCTACCAGCAGATGAAGAAGTGGTCTGGCTTTAGTAAACCATCTGTACTAAGCACATTCACGTTTATGTCACAAAAAAACCTTTCTTCACCTTTCCCTGTGTGACCAGGCTACCATGGCCCAGAAGCACTGCTGTGGGTGGTGCCCACGATGATGCCCAGCACTGCTCTGACTCGATGGCTTTGGAAGTGTAAGCACCACAAGCTCACAGTTCCAAAGATGGAACTGTTTTCTCTAAACTCTTCTGTCCATGAAATACTCCACAGAGCTCACCAGCTGGTAAGGTATGATTTTACCACAGGTTTAATGATCAAAATCTATGCTACTGCTGAGAACTGCTGCCCTGTGTGCATCATCCCACCCTGTTCTGCCTTCTGCACTAGCATCAGAAGTCATGTAGACAGCTTGGGCTTTTTTTTTTTTTTGTTTTTGTTTTTTTTTCCCTCTTTGGTTGTCTGGAGGTTTTTCCTGGGTTATTGTTTAGCTTAGTCTGGCCTCAAATTTGACTGCATATCTGTGTGTACACACTACTATTAGCAGCTAAGAGGAGATAGGAAGGCATAGCCAGAGAGGGACAGGGCCACACATGGGTGGGACCTTCCTTTCAGTGGCAGCAAGAATTTAGGTTTGGCAAAAACAGCCACAAAACACACAAAACAGATCTTGAGCATGTCTGTATGTCATAACACTCCTGTAACAGAAAACACATGTAAAAACAGATAGCCAAAGGACCATTGTGATAATATAGAAGTCAGTAACATGTTTTTAATTCTTTTTACTTTCCTGTTTCTGAAAGCCAAAATAGGATTTATTCAATCAAAATCAAGTTTTGACAATTAAGCAGTGAGAGATGGGACAGACAGAACAAGAACTTGCACTCCTCTGGGGAATCTTTTTTTCTGACTGCTTAACAACTTTATTCATATTGCTAGACAACTTTATTCTTTCCCAGTCCCAGCTGTATATAACAGTAAAAAACATCAGGGCTGATTTAATGTGTGTGCTGACTTAATGATAGTCTTTAAAAACAAACAAACAAAAACTGAAAAGGAGAATGGAGGCTCATCCTTGACTTTTAACAGCCAGTGAAGCTTATTTAAGGTTGTAACACAAACATCAATAAAAACAGTACCATCCTGCAGTTAGATAAATGCTTGTAAAAACATATAAATCTTAGGAGAATTCTCATGTTTAAAAACACAATGAGATGGTGCATGCCTGAAGAAAAAGAGCTCATCTGGCCAAAGAATGTGCTTACATAATAATGGACTCCCAGCACAATGAACTATGTCCACAATGACATTTCTTGGCTGGTAATATACCACTGGTATTCAGCAGCACTCAGAATCACTGATAAGCACTTAGAGAAGGGACACTTGTTCCACTGCAAGTCCAATCTTACTCAGATAAAGCACATATTGTATTCAAAATAACTTTTATTTAAGGAAAAAAGATCCATGTTCAGATCCAAAGCACTCTTCTGCTTGTCTCAATGTAGGAGATACAAGCCCTTAATATTTCTTAATAACCTCTCTGGAAGTCAATTGCTTCTCCAGCAAGTTTCTCACTATATGGTTCTAACTGATGAGGATGACCTGCATACCTGAGGGATACCTGAGCAGGAGAAAGAAAAGCCCTGGAAATGCTGTAGCCCTGCAATAGATATCTATATGGATCATACCACATTTGCATTTTTTATCTACTGCTGGTAGCCTTGAGAATTTGGTCATAAACACTACACTACAGCAATTTTGATTTTGTATTGAAAAAAAAAACCCTAAGATTTTATTATACTTGCTATTTTAAATTCTGCCAATGAGCTTTCCAGAGTGCTTCATAAACCATAAACACATCAAAGGTCCTCTGAGTGAGGGACTGGCACTTGGCAAGGCCAGAGTCCTGCAATCACACACATGAGTGTTTTCATAAGCAACCAGATGCAGGCTCAGGAGCTCAATTCAAACAAGTTGTGTTCAAGTCTAAGCTTGTAATCTACCTGTGGGCTATACTGTTTACTTAAACTTTTCTTTTCAGAAAGAACTGTGGTATTCTGCATGCTTTGGTGTAAGCCAGCACTAGCTACAAATACCCCACAAAATATAGGAGGAAAATACCAGAATTCTGTTAGAGCAAATGCAGTATTCAAACATTTTAAACTTGAGAAAAAATTCAATTTTAGAAGAATCAGCAACTGCAGTGGTTTGGAGACATTAACTTGCCATATAGCATGCTAAACTGTAGGAGGAAGCACAAGGTTTACCCCACCTCACAGAACAAATCTCACTGAGAAATACTCACATAGATCACACGGCTTGGGGAACCTGATGTACTTGATGCAGGTACAGAAATAATACTCTCAGAGGAAGTCCTAGTTTCCTATGGCAGGAGAAGTGAAATAGATAGGAAATACAGGAGAGACAAAGATAATGTAACTGTTATTTTAAAAAAAAGCATACAAGCATTTAATTTAATTCAATTTCTACCACCCAAAAATGGCATATTATAGAGACCTCAAAACATGGAGTTAAAAATAAAAGAACAGTTGCAGACAATAAATTCAACCTTTCAAAAATGCAAGAATTTTTTTACACATGGCTTTTTATCCCTACTCTTCAGAACGAATGGCCCAGAGCATTTCCTCATCCATGACCCAGACAATGGCACTGAGAACATCCTTGGCAAACCTACAGATGACAGCCTGCTGTGTGGTGGGGACAATGTGCTGGAGGGAAGGGATGCCATCCACAGGGATCCTGGTAAGCTTGAGAAATGAAGCCATGCAAAATTCATGAAATTCAACAAGGCCAAGTGCAAGGTCCTGAACCAGGGTCAGGGAATCTCCAGCACCACCTCCACAAACTGGGTGGTGAAGGGAGAAGAAGGACTTGGAGGATACTGGTGGCTATGGAATTGGATATCAGATATCCCACATTGCACACATGTTCTTTATTCTTTTCATGATCCACTACCCCTTTTAGCATCCCCATCCATGCCTGCTCCACACCATCTCCCAGCTTTTTCAATAAAACCTCACACCTTTGTTGATTCTATTGCTTAGTTCATTTTCTGTACTACACATTTTTCTTCTTCTTCCACCTACCTCTTTTCCCTAAAAGCCTCTTTATAGACTTTACTTTCCCTTGCTGCTTTGATTTCTCCTGTCTTTTCCAGTTTCTTCCCTTCTGCTTAAAATCTCACTCTCCCATCATCTTTCTTTATGCTGTCACTCACTTTCACAACTTCTTTTTCCCCTCCACTCCATCTTCAAAGTTTTGGAGCATGCTGCCACTTTCTCCTTTTGCCTTTGTCACCTACTTTAATTGCATGCTGTTCATATATCTATATATAGGAAGATAACTTAAAAACAACAAACTGTAAGGTCGAACAGTAAATTTCTCAAGGAGTAGATCTCATTCCAGACTGTACAAGTTGTGCTGAAAAGTTCATTATTACTCTCTTAAAAATGGCATCCTTCCTTCTGGTTTTAATTTTTCAATAATGAACATAAAGATCAGAAAATAGAAAAAACTCAAGGAAGAAGAAAAGCTACTAGGGAAAATTATTTGATATTCAGAGCTTGTCATAAACCAAGCAATCACTTCCCAAACACATGGGTACAAAAACTACAGCCAAGATCCTTTTTAGGGTAAAGCCCAAACTTTTTTTTTTCAAGCTGTAATTTAGTCAAAGTTGGACTTTCTAACACACCAGATTTAGTAATCCTTTTATGGATGCTGCCTGCTGTTCTGACTTGCCCATGTGCCTTCCTCCAAGCCTTGAACCAAAGCAGAGCTTTTCTGAACAAGGATACCAAGGGCACCACTTGGAGCATCAGAGAATATCAGAAGTGAAAAACCCACACTTGGCCTCTACAATAAATGAGATAGTTGTAACTCATTCCCACCACTTCAGAAAGATTATTAATTCTTCATGTCCTAGGGACAGCTTATTTATCTGCTAAACTTCTGCCAGAATTCCCCCCTTTTCCTCTTGCATACAGAGAGGTGCACAATCATCCAATTTAAGGAGGTACTTAAAGCCAGAGATTAAATTACATTGTGGCTGGCTTGCCAACATTTTAGAAACAAATAATAAAACAGAAACTCCAAGGATATTTATTTTTTTGTAAAAACAAATAAAGTGAAAGTCCTCTGATCTTTTAAGTTTAGAGCCACAGGAAAAGAAGTAATGAACTGATAACATCATAATCAGACAGAAGTTAAAAATTAACTTTTTTTTTTCTTATTCATATTTTCACATTTTTACTTATTCAGCTTATATATATAACTCTTAGGTCAACATTCTCCTTAATTTGTATCTTTAATCACTGATTAAAAGCAGATTATTTATATTACATGATTACATTTCATTAGCCAACTAGATTCCTATCATTTAAAATTTAAAATTACAGTAGTGAAAATTTTCCAAACTCTTCTATCCATGACTGCTGAAAAGAAAAAAAAAAAAAAAAAAAAAAAGATAGAGAATAATATGGCAATCAAATAACACTGGGTAAAAATGCAGTTTTTTACCTTGTTTTTTTCTTCAGCCTTTGCAGCCTGTCTACAAAGTGGATGCCAAATGGATGTTCCTGTAAAGTAAATTTGAAGTTCTGCTAAATTCAGCTCCACGATAAGAACATAAAAAAGTTCAAAATAAGAACCTTATTAAACCCTCCTATAAGGATTGATAAGATGTAGGTTACTGACTAATTCCCCTCCTAGTGCAGGATACTTTCAGAGGTCAAGACTACAACCTCTCAATCCCAGTGAGCCTGATCATAGACATTTCAAAGACTTCAGAAAGCTACATGTACCTCAGTATGGCAGATCAACATCAAAATCTGACTCCTAAGAAGTGTGATATGGGATTTCTGGAGCTCCACCAGTCCAACCTCCTGCTCAGGGCAAGTCCCATTAGAGCAGGCAGGGCTGTGTCCAGCTGGGCTTTGCCTGTCTCCAAGGATGGAGGTTCCACTGCATCTCTGGGCAGCCTGTTTCATGGCAACTTTTTTCTTTATATCTAGTCACAATTTCCTACACTAGAATTTCCTACACTCTTAAAATATATTTTTTTGTAGTAGTCAGGCTTGGGTCATATACAATAGCACACCATGGTGGGATAGAATAGTATTGTGCCTTGTAACCCTAGCTGAAAATCCAGCCTATCATTTATCATTTATTCACTGTTCCAATCTTGCACTTTCCATCTGTTTGTCTCCTGTAAGTCAGCTACTAAGGAACTGCATAAACTCAAGGAGGAATGTCCATCATGGAGGAAGCAGGAGATACCAAATGAACCAGTTCTCTATTGCATACAGGTATTGAAACGAGGCTCTTGACGAGATGTAAGTAAACAATGAGTGTGAGATAGAAACTTGAATAGTTTTGCACTAGTCACAAAGGAAAAAAATATTTCAAAAAGTTGAACATGATGTTTAAAATAGTGTTCAGTAGAAGTGGAATTTGTATAATGATATAAAATAAAATAATTATTTGCAAGTTTTAATAGTAAGAAGAAATTTTTATGTTTATGCCAGTCCAATCTCAGACATGCCACAGATTAAAGCTCCAGAGGTAAACAATGTGAGTGCACTACAACTTCTGCCTGAGTAAACTGGAATCTGAGAACCTTTGCATAATAAATACTTAATGTTTATACTGGGTGGAGAGTATCAAGAAGAGTTATTGGAAATACTTTGTTTTCACAGCAGTTTGATAGTTTTCTAACTAGTGGATTTTGGAAACAAGATAGAAACAGGCTATTTCCCAGAAGACAGATGGAGATCATTAGAATTTATTTCACAAAAATAACCCAGATGAACCCGGACTCTTGCAGTAAAAGAGTACCTATAAGAACAGCCCAGATAAATTATGTTTACTAAGTTACTGGGTTTTTTGTTTCCGAACGACTAAAAAACATTTTTATAGCACCTTTAAATTTAATGCTAAGTTATCTTCCATTTACAAGTGGATTTCAACTTGCCCTATTTGTCCCTTAAATTGCTTCAAATTATGCCAATGGATTTAAGAAGTATTTAGATTACTTTTTTTTTTTTTTTTTTTAACTACTCCTGTCTCTAGCCAAGCAACACTGTCTGGGAACATTTTCACATTGAAGAGAAAAGTCCTTTCACCCAAAAAGCTGTCTGTTAGATGACCACTGAAGATTTCTGCTAAGGAGCACATAACACCTAAAGTAACTTTACAGTAGTTTATTAAGAGGATGAAGAACACATTACAAAACCCTGGGCTCCAACAATTTTTATTATTTAACAGCTTAGATAGTCCAAATAACTGATCATTGTTCTTTCATGGCATTAACACCAGTTTCCAATGGAAAGTGCTCTCCATGTGAAGACAAAAAGGGTATGACAGTAAGCTGGTGTCAACATTCCATGCATCAGAAAACACACCCAAATAAATACAACATAACCATACCCTGCTATTATTTGAACTAATAATCAGAACAAAACCTACAAATATCCACCCTCACAACAAATGGAACTTAAAAAAAAATTGACTTGCAAACAAGTTTCAGAAGGTTTGAAATCTAGAAACAAATTTGTAGTTTGATGTACTTTTTAAAAGCATTGATTTCATATGGGGTTTCAGCACTGCTAAGATCCTTTTCAACTGGAAGAACAGCATTTTCTGGCTCCTGAGGGAAAATTCATGAGCACAGACAAGTATCACTATGTCCTTTAATGAGCTAGTTCTTGTTGAAAACCAAAGTCACAATAAAATTTTAATTTAAAATAAAGTACTAAACCATAATTAGATCTTACTGAGACCACTGCCGTGCTCTAAATCAAGTCTAACTTTTCCAGTTAAAGGAAAAATTTCAAAGTACGCTTCTAGAAAACCACGGACAATTGCAAAGTTGTAAACATAGATCTGGGCAGGCATGTGATTTTAGGAGAATACACCAGCCTTGCAGCTCCCACATCCTTCTGAGTTTCTCTTTTCTGTTTTCCTTTGAAAAGTTTTCCTTTGTATTTAACTGTGTAAGCAATTTTCTTTGATCAGTGTAGTAGAGCGACATGTGAAGGATTTCAGCTCATATTTATGTCAAACTACTTTCTTTCCCATTGCATACTTTATTGCACAAGTCCTGTAACACTGAATTTCTCCTGTGCATACCTATGGTGTGGGCAAGCAGGTGTAGGCAAGAGAGCCAAGTGCAACTGTTTTATTTTTTTGTTTGTGTGATTTACCTTGAAGATACATTTCTTCTCCTTCTGCAAACATCTGATTGCACCTGACACATCGTGCGCAGGTTGGGTGATAATGCTTTTCTCCTGCCTGTTCAGAAAGAAGGTACAGATGATTAAGTATAGCGATCAATTTAGCACTTTTTCTTTCATTCTCTTGAATAATATAGTTAATTATGACAATTATTTCAACAGTCTCCTACAACCACAATGCTGATTTGTCATTCTAGACAATTCATGCTTTAAAATGTAATTATGGTCTTGCCTACATGAAGCAAAAAAAGTTTTTGTGCAATAGTTAAGCCTCTGAATTTTCAGGACAGAAACAAATTTATGCAATGAACACATTTTCCCTGTAAACCAAGTGCAGGGTAGCTTAGGACTTACATGCACAAGGAATTTGGAAGGTCATAAGTCATAACCTTGAGCACAGATTTGCAACTGTTATGTTCAACATGCATCAATTGAATACATAATCATAATGCTCAGCAAAAAACATTTGATGCAAGGAATGTTTGTAGCTGCTTTGAAAGTGTCTTGCAGGTAACTTGTACTAAAGAGTTCCATGACGAATGTGTCCAGCCTGCCTATAGGACAGTAAGTTAGAGCAGGCAGTTTTGGGTACTGTGCACTCACACCCTCACATGGACAGGCCAAGAGTTTTGCCATCTGTTCAGAGATTAAGCCACATAATTTAACACCACTGTTTTCATTGACTACAATGAGAACAGAACTGAGCCCTCAGCTTGCTCAGAACTGCTTAGTAACTTACCACTTTTCATGTATTTAAATTCTCAATTACCTGCAACGTTGACAAAACCAGCACTCATGGAGTTGTGCTCTGCTGAGTGAACAACATGGGCCAGTCCCTCCAAACTGCACTCCCACCCCATCTTTCAGATGGCACTCACAAAACAATGTCCCAAAGACAGCTCTTGCACATGCTCCCAGCACTCCTGACTCTTCAAAATCCCTACAGAACTGAAAGCCAGATATTGGCATCTCCTTTTTCCTTTTTGACCTCGCACTCTTCCAAGCTAAACAGAATTGCCCAGGGTTTAAATGGCTTAAGGTCTTCCACTAGGAACAAAAGCTGGGAGAACAAGTAACTCTACAGCTTAGAGCTAAAGTAAACTAGGTTTAATTTAAGATTAAGCTAAGCCTGACTTTAGTAGAAATTCTCCCAAAGTTAAAAATATGTACATTTTGGTGCATGTAGAATGTCTCATAACCTGCTTACCTGAAAAACACTGAAAGTGCTACTAGGATTGTGGGTGCCTTTAAGAAACTACTATCAACTACTGCCCCACTGCCTTCAGCATGTAAACAGGCTCTCACAGCACTGCACATCCCCTTCTATCAATCTAGAGATTTAGCCCTGTTCTACAAAGGTGACTTTTCTAACTCTTTCTTATTCACTGAATTTCAAAGCTTTCAGAAGCATTTACATTAAAGAATGTAATGTGTGTCTGGGGGCTGTTTTGCCATTCACAATACCAATCACAGGAATGCAGTAAATCTAGGTTAAAGACTCTCCAGTTTTACTGCATCAGTGCTAACTTGATTCACTCCTGAAAACCTGCTGCAGGATTTCAGATTGGCAATAAAGACCAACACAGCACACCAGATTTGCCATTCTGAAAACAGCTCTGCTCCAGCTCACTCTTTTTATGTTATAATTTGTGCAGAGTGATTTTTGCAGTTTTAGACATGGAAGATGGTCACTACTATCTGTGATAACACCTTTAAATTCCTAGATCACAAAGTATCAGTATTGAGCTTAAACTTCAGGTTTAAAATTGCTTGACTTAGTGCAGGTGTTTAAGCACAGAAGAGTATTCAACCACCAGATAAATTTATGTTTGGCATATCAAATTGAAAAGAAATATAATTTCCCTTGGAAGTGCACAAGCATTGCTAATGGAATGCATAACCTCAATAACTCAACTGATTTAGCACAGATGATACAATTCCCAGGCTAACATTCTCTAAGTGAATTAAACGACTTCTTTGCTAAAATAAACTGCCAGGACAAATTCTCAGATAACCTGGATGCATCACAGAACAAAGACTATTTCCCTAAATTTAACAGTATAACCAAATATATAATTTTAATTCACTTGGTGAATTCACTTGCATAGTCAGTAATATCAACTAGATATACAATGGCACAGAAAAACCTCTTTTATAACCTAGACACAACTGTAACAGAAAAATTAGGGGATGAAAGTACAGTAATCTTTTTGCTGATGATCACACCAGGAGAACTCCAATGCATTTTGCATAAGTATCTCTGAATTAAAATGGCACAAACTCAAAAATTTTCATATAAGTCTAAGTGCTGACAGTGACTTTTATCACCCCTTAATATTTTTTTGTCCTTCTAATCAAAGCACAGAAGACAAGACATAGCAGACACTTCAACACTTGGAAGTATTTAGAAAAGACCACACCATATTTTTAAGTGAGAGGTGCTAGCTGAACCTGAGGCTAGGCAGCTGATGCAGGAATTAACTAACACCATTTACTGATATGTATATGCGGTTACCCTGATTAGATATCATAAATTATATTCAAACCTCGGACCTGAGTCTGAATCAGAGTCCCTGGGGTAAATGCCAAGGAGGCTTTCACCAGTGCTCCTTTCTTCTGTCCCTCCAATTTCAGGGGCTTGGTCTCATAGATGAACAACTGGTTCCAGCAGAACCCAGCTATTTTATAAGCTTAGGGCAGCAAATATTGCATGGTTTTGGTTTAGTTGTAATAAAGACCTCATCATTTTTTCTCTTCTTGCTTATATTGATATGAGGTAGTTCAATGCAGCAAACAAATTCCTAACCATATGGTTAGTTCTTCTTTGCACAGTTTGAAAGCTTAGTTTGACAGATTGTTGTCTCAGTGTTTAATAAAATACCAACACACTCACAGGACAGAAGAAGCAACATTCATCTCTAAGAGATCTCTTATGGTTCAAGTGATAGGTTATAAAAAACTCCTCAATATCCTACAATCGCTTCAAGGCTGCACCAGGTCTTTGTGCCCAGGAATCCAAATGTGAATATAGTATTATTGTGAACATCAATTTAAAGAATAATTTTCAGCTGAGATTACCTCAAACCTGAATAGCAAAGTGTATCATTAGTAATACAGTACATATACCTACAATTTAATTTTTCTTCAACTGACCATGAACCAGCTTTCCACAATCACCAAGTTGAACTCAGTGTGTGCAATTTAAATGCAGTCAAAACAGCCCTCAACACTCTGAGACAAAGTATTATGAGTTACTTCTTTCCCTTTAGGTATAAGAGACCCCTTTGAATGTGAAGTCTCCTCTGCAGAGAAGGAAGGGCCTTCTGGGCAGATCAACAGGAGAAATTATGTTTATCTGGGCTGATCAATATGGACCTCCTGCCCTGAGCACAGGGACCATCTCAGTGTTGCAACCTGTCCCGCAGCACATCCACAGACAAACTCATGCTTCACTTAAAGCAGGACCAGAGAGCTCTGCAATGAAGTACATATAACCACCTTTTCTCATTTCTCACAACTTGAGGGCTTGAACTAAGTAAAAGGAGAATAAAGTTGATATGACAAATGTGAATTGCATCATTCAAAGCATAATTTGGAGACAGTAAGGTGTGTTACTTGAAAGTCTTCAGAACAGTATGCTCACCAGGCTTGGAAAACATACAGCACTAGCAAAACTACAGCAGTTCATACCAAAAGGAATAACTTAACTAGTTAAATTTGAGTTTTAAATTAGCTGTCATCACCCAGGAAAAATATATTACATTACTGCAGACAGCTCAGCAAAAAACTGTGCTCATTTTCTGGCTATGGCTGCCATAAGTGATGAAGTGGTAGAATATATAAAAGATGATATGCACAATAACTGTAACTCTACCACAATGACATTGCTTGTCTGATCGCTCATGCTGTTTCTGGAAGTGTGATTGATATAATTGTTAACTGCAGTTGATGAGCAATAATTGCTTATGTAGTTGACACATGAGAAATTGAGCAGCCTAAAGCTCAGAGTGAGCTAAGTCCTGGAAGGAAGACTCAAGATTTCTGATGTCTGATTCATCACTGAAGTCTAAGTATATCCTCATTGCATTTCTCAATGAAGTAATTAGTAAAGGGAAGATAGAAAGTACAGAAAATTGTTTAACATACTAGCTAAACTTACAACTATATGATTAGTTTCCTGAGAATTAAAAGCTATCAGTGAACTCTTTCCTGTAAAAATTAAAAGTAATAACAATAAAAAAAAATCTATCTTCTTATCAAAATGCATAGAGGCAATTGACATTATATTGCTGGGAGTAAAACGTTTGTGGAAGTGACAAAAGGTTAGATTGTTGCAATGGTTTAATCATATCAAAGCATATTTTCCATTTTGAGTGTATAATACAATCTAGTTTCTACAATAGTTCCTCATTACCACTAAGTATTGTATATTGAAGAAGATCCAAATCCTGCCAGCCTCATACTCTAAAATCCCCAAGTCAAGTCCTAACTGTACCCTACCCTGAATAGAAATAATGAAAAACAGCCTGCAAATCACTGAGCTGGTGGGTTTGCCAAGGCATGGTGCAGCTGCCTGACCCACAAACAAAGCCCACAGAAGACTGGCATAAAGCATTCTTAGTTAAAAGCTTTTCACATGGAATAAATTTGTTGGAGAGCTGTGTCATCACCAGACAACCACCTGTCCAAGCAAAGAGAAACAATTTAAGCACAAAACCACTGACAGTCAATAATCCCTCCCATCAGGCAGCTTCTCAACCTGAAATGCAGTATTAAAGATCTCATAGAAGACATATGACTTGATTTCTGTTGCTTTTTTAAGTGGAGGGAACTTACTATTTGTATGGGATGGGAAGGGGAAAAATACTTAGGCAATGTAGGGATGGGTGACAATGTAAAACATCGATTAGACAACACATTATTCTCTTGTATATTTTGTCTCCACTTCCTGAGTAATGCCATTCCCATGGACATTCCCATTTGTTCATTAAAGGACACTGATACTCCTTCAGGTAAGCTTCATAGTACAGGCAACAGAAATAGAATTCAGTTTAAAGT